GGTCTCAAGTGTTCAGTCTATCAGCTTTGTTGCTGCTTTATATTTAGGTTAGCTTGAAACTACTTAACATCGTGCAAGTGTGAGTACTGCTTGATGCAGTATCACAACAGTAGGCGCGGCAGCAGGACAGAAATCTGAAGATGTTCCCCTGAAGTCTATACAGAGGTCTCCCCACTGCCACTCTCTTCAGACACTCTCAGCTCCTGCTCGTTGAGAGTTCTCTCTGCTTTTAGTTTGCACTTGTTCTGCAAGTAGAATGCAGCTCAATCAAACTGAGATCAGGAGATTGACTCCTCACCCTGAAGTTACATGGTTTCATTGCCTGAGTCCTTGTTTTTCACCATGCAAAGGATCTTCTGCTTATCTATAATACCTGTGCAGTCACTCTACTTCACTTTGACATTTTATTTCTCCTGTGGCCATCTGTTGATTTTGGAAAAGCAGCTACACTCTGAGCAATGCTTTTTTGAGCCATCTTTTTCACTTGCATAGTCACCTCTTCATCCTTCATATTGACACCTCTTCATCCTTCATATTGACAGACAACTCCACCTCAATCTAAATTACAATTACCTCTCAATCAACTCTGAGCAATGCCTGAGTTCTTCTGTGCATGAACCAATGCTGAACTATACACAGCTGCCCAAGACAGTTCTTTCAGTAGAGTAGTTCCTTCTATACGGATGTAAACCTACTCTGGAGCAGGTTCACAGGATCGGTTCAAAATCTGTCAACACCCTGGAACCTGACAGAGTCAGCCTACATTAATGTGATAAGTATTAAATAGGTATTTCTACAGAGCAGTCATATCACTGTGCTGCTCCAGGCTTTCTGGAGTCTACAGCCTTCATGATGATCACACTGTATTATAAATGTACAAGACTGTCGATGTTTTTTCAGACTTCCATCACTGTGATCTTTTAATAGATAATCAATACTCTTAAATATTTCCCATGATAATAAATGACTTGAGGTGCACCCGGTGTCCCCCGCTCTCTGCTCTGGCAGCACAAACTGTTGGATTTTTTTGACAACAGTTTGTCATCAAACAAAAACACTCATTGAATAATACCCTTAAAATAATACTGCACTAATGTATGGAATAATCTTAGTCTTAGCTGAATATCTGAAAATCATTTCTAGAGTTTCTTATTCTCTTCTAGCTATGTGACTATTGTTTACAGTTCACTCGCCATAACATCTCTTTTTGCAGTGGCTATAAACGAGTTTCCCCGCAGGTATCACTGCTCCATCTCATATTATTTTTGGTGGCCTATTTCAATCACGGTGCTGTTGCTGTCGCTTCTAATTAACAACTCCACCGCTTTCACGTGAACGTGCTCATAGCCTGATGAGAAAACCCAGATTTAACAGAGCCAGTTGATAACTGGCTTCGTGGTGCTGCTAATTTGACTTGTGATTTTCAAGATAATACCACAAATTAATGCTTTCAGTTCAATATTTAGCACATTTTAAAAATGATACTGATTTAGCACATTTTAATGATACATAATAATACTGATAATCACAATCATTTTGGTCACTTGCTACTTTCATACTGTTTCATCTCCAGACCATGTACAGAACTTTGGCATTACTGCATCAACATACAGTACCTTGAACTGGTTGACGTTATGGTGAACTTATCACATTTCCAAAAAATGTACTGTTTACTGCTCATATATGCTGTATACTGTTATTGTGGTATAATATTACATAAAGTGTATATTGATTCAAAATTGTATCCATTCCATCTCCTCCATAGCTTGTATCACATCTAAAAATCATCTCCCATTCAAGGAAAACATCAGTATTGACCACTGAACAGACCAGTTTGTTGACAATGGAAGACTTGACTTTCTGTTTGATACAGTGACGACGGAACATGGATTTTTAAGTGTGTCTTAAAACAACACTGTGCCCATATGTACGTGACAGTAACTCTTGGCCCCTCTACCAATTCCTACTCAGCACACTTGCTAACGTCACTGGGGCCCAGGCCCTCATATGATGGTTTTTATGAAATTTTAAATAATTCAACTTTTAAAAGTATGCAATTCTGTCTCTTTTTGCAGGTGCATGTTGTTTTCACATTATGCAAACAAGAATTAGAAACATAAGGAAAATGATCCATTGATGGCTTAGATTATGTTCACCGTTGCGTTTTAGCTTCACTGCCATTTCTCTTTGCAGTCCAACAACATCCATGTTTGTGTAGCTGGCAGACTTCAGTCAATGTGTGCAAAGCTGTTTAAATTCATGAATCTTAACCGTGCCACCTGAGGAATCAAGTATCTCCACTTACCACAGGGCAGGGCTTTAACCTCATACAAACACTATCTCCCTCTGAAAACCACCCCAGAGCCTTCTATTTAATTATAAAGGGTTATCTGAGATATCAGTAATATGTCCTCTGGGCAGAAGTGGGCCGGGGCTTACAGCTCACCAGTAATTGGGTCTCTACTCACAAATACAAATGAACAAATCAGTCGTCAAAGAGAGGAAGGCCACAAAGGAAATCAGGTTACTTTAGACCCCACATTATCAATGTGCTACTTCAGAGCCCCACTCATCACTTGAATTCTACCAGGAAGCCAGTTGTTAGAATGAAAAAAAAAGATGATTCATAACTCTACTACTCAAAAAATGTACAAGAAAAGTCAACAGTCTGACTGCTTTTACACTAAGCAGAAAAAGTGGCAATGATATAAATCAGTGTTCACTGGTATATTAGTTAGGCCTAATGATCCAGGACAGCGTTTCCTAAACATGCAATCACAGGCCTCCTCTCTGAGGGCTGAGTCTTCCTGCAACAACACTGATTTACATGTGGCTGTTCTTCCCTGTTTGTGTGAGGGCTCTGTGACAGCCATGCTGTCAGTCAGTCTGACGAGGGCCGAACACACCAGTCAAGATAAAGATCGCTCAACTACTGGGCAGACTGTCATAAAATTAACCCTATGGAGCCATTTGTATCATATTTGATATGCAAAATGTGATACAAAAGAAATAGAAATAATCTAAATAATATGGCACCTCTATTCCTATATGCCTGGACTGTCTGTCTATGCATTTATGGCAAATAAAAATCGTGAATCTTGAATTTCGAATCATGAATTATATTTTGGATTTTGTTAAAAGGTTTAATAAACATCTCAGTTCCAAAAAATTATAATGTTCTGGCTATTTTTTGATATGTTGGTCTTTACAGGGTTAAGTATTAGTGTCATGATCTCTGATGGTTTGGTGAACCTGGTGACGTTTCCTAATGAAGTTAACCGGTTAAAGTTTACCTGAATTTCAGTGAGCACATACATGTTCCACAGAGAAAGAAAGTGAAGTGCAATGAATGTTGTTCTTTAATAAAAGGCTGCACTAAGATGCATGTTTACCGAGTTCTCTTGAGCCATTCAAAGACAACTGATATTTGTCAGAAAGTTACGAGGAAGCTAAAACATGCATAATGTAGAATCTGCATACACTGCTCCCCAAGTGTTTTAAGTCTGTCCCTTTTCATACAGGAGATGTGCACTTGACATGGAGTTACTGAATTATATGTTTGATTATTAATGTGATGAACTAGATGGCAGACTAATGACAACAGCCTATGAAAGCTGTATGTTGAATGGGTTCATTTGAATTTCACTTCTTTCCTTCTGTCCATATACACACACACACACATACATATTCTCTCTCTGGCCAGTTCACCAAAGCAAGGCAACATCCAACCTCAGTTCAACCCTGGTTGTGAAGGAGAATTAATAGATAAGCATCTTAGCTTGGACTGCAGTATGAACACAATTGATAAGGATAAGAAACAGCAATAACACAAAGATTCCCAGGACAAGACTTACAAAATCGTCATTTAAATTGGGTAAAGTTAGGTAATCAAGGCCAGGTGCACACTATCAACACTGCAGCCTATGGTCTGGATTCTGTTACTATTCAGGGTACTGAGGTTTTATACTCCAAACCCACGACATCATTCATTCATTCATTCGTTAATTATTTGTCATATTAACTACAGGAGATCCAAACCCACGACATCATTCATTCATTAGTTCATTATTTGTCATATTAACTACAGGAGGAAAATGGTTTTCTTGCATTAATAACACAACCACACAAAATGAAACGTAACTCAGTCAATAAATATAAACTGGACTGAAGGTGAAGACTATGGTAGTGGATTCTTCTCTGAAAACTTCCTCCAGGCCTCAAACAACTACTTTTCAGTAATAATTCACTACAATCCGCGCACACACAACATGACTGGCTGACTTCGGTCAATGTTTTACTAAACACCAACACGGAGAAGTAAAGTGCAGCCAGACAAACATGGCCAGTGTGATTTCAGCTTCAGAAGCCTCAAACGATGACTCGGAAATCGCTTTATGTTGACAATTAACAGTTTACACCTGAGAGATGTGGTTGTAGCGGGAGCCAGTGGCCAAAACATCCGCCCCGGTAACGTCATACACCAAAACACCAACTCAGATTTACCACTACTGCTGTACAAATGAAACACGTGCATTTATCATTAAAGCGCGCGCACACACATCTTAGTCATCATACCAAAGTGTCGTGACACGAAGAAGAAGACCTGAAAAGAAACAACAGAACGTGGGGAAAACTCGTCGTGGATTCCAACTCTCATGCTAACAGCTAGCTCTAAAGCAACAGCCTCACTGTCGCTAACCATAGCATAGCTAACGCCAGCCTTCAGTAGCTCTAACCTGTAACCGTGAACAACTACGCGACCCGATCCTTCTCCTCTTCGTGCTCTATCATCTATATGGTGTTGACATATTCATATGTTGTCCAATCGCTAGGAAAAATCCTAGTACAAACGCCAGTCCCGTATGCACTCGGAAAACTGGGACCTGGAATAATGGTACAGCTAGCTGCTGAGGCTACCACAGCTATTCACAGGACTCTGCGGAGAAAATTGGCTTAGGGTTTGAGATACTGTAACCACAAATCTAATCTTTCTGACTTACCAGAATCTGCTGTCAAACCACAGCGGTCTAACCAGAGCAAACCTCGGCGTTTAGAATTAAAAATGAACTTCAGCGCGTCGCTGCTCCCTCCGCCATCTTGGTTCTACTGGAGCCGTGGACTCAACCAAATCTAGCATACCGGAGGAAGGTTTAAAATTTAACCCCTAAAGTTATTTCTCTCAAGTATATCGTCACCGACCATCCTCCAATGAAGGACAGCGTATTCCTTGCTAGTCGGGAAACATTTAAGGAGTGTCAGTGGAAATGTTGACACACTTCTTATCTTACCTAATATTAGTGGTGGAAAGTAACTAAGTACATTTACTCGAGTACTGTGTTTACAATGTTGAGGTACTGTATCTGTATTGTACGTGCGTATTTTCATTCTCTGCCACTTCATATTTTGACGGCACTATATTTTAGAGGCAAATACTGTACTTTTCACTACATGTATAACTTTGGTTACCAGTGACTTTGCAGAACCAGATTAATACAAATGTTACAGTACAGTAAAATCACAAGACTTTATTGATCTCTGGTGGAAAATTCAATTTGACTCTCACTTCATCATCTAATACAGACTGGCTTCTCTATCAGAACACTACTTTTAGTGCTTTGACATAGAGCTCTTCAATCAAAGCCCACTGAGCTTTTCAGGCACATACAGCCATACTACTGTCTATCTCAGTCTTTCTCAGCTGATACCTATATATTTACCTTTCAGTGGAATTAAGGTGGGGTCTTTGATTAATGGGCGATTCTTAGAATTATTGTCATCCGCAGAACATAGTTTTTAATAGTACAAACTATTAATAGTTTTTAATTACAGCATTGAGCCTTTTTGGACAAGTCTCAATCAGCTTTGCACATCTGCACATTTTTTAATTTGGTACATATGGATTAAATTAATGTGGAGCTGTTGTCGAAAACCAAAGCAGACAAAACAGAAAAGCCGCTTAGATAAAGACATGCAGGCCTGTCACAATCAGAATCTGCTCCTATTCTTCAGTGGCTTTGTTCACAGATTTAAAAAATATGTATTAACCAGCTAACTGATCTGTAAAATCATTCTTAATGTTCAAAACAAACATAACAAGGAGTACTTGCCTGACAAACATGATCTAACCTAACTACACCTTACTAACCTGCACCAAACTGATAGCTGTTTATTTATTAAAAACACATTTCTAGGATGAAATGTGGATAAATGACAACCAGATGTACATGTTGTGTACTGATGGGAGAAAAACAACAACAACAACAAACAAAAACAAAGTCTGGCCCTGACTGATGATCTGATAAAGATCCTGCTGCTCCCTCTTGTGGTCACTGCTGAGATGCTAGAGACAGCCTCAGGAGCAGCATGTGCTTTGACCTCACTAAGGAAAAGAAATGAGACGCCTCATTGAAACCCACACATCAGTCACAGCTAGTTAGTGTTTTGTATTCTCTTTATTAAGTAAACTCTACACTTTTAGTATTGCTTTTTTTCTCTTTTCACTCTAAATTAGAACATTTAGCAATCAGCACATATAGAACTTTTCAATCAAGCTACACTTTTTGAGGAATACAAAAATATCACAGTACATTTTCTACTAAGTTACCTTCACCTGTGAGGTCCAGAGCCAGTCAGAGAGGTGGTTCAGAACCACAGCAGCTACCTGGACAGAAATGGAACATCAGCATGTCTTGAAGTAACAGCACCACGGTCGTTTAGCTAACCATGCTGAACTAAGGGGCCATGAGTGTTTGGACTCATGCGCATCACACAGCTCAGCAAAGCAGGGCTTTCCAGAGCCAGACCACTGGGTTACAAGGTCATGGTCTGTGAAAGTGTGGACTAGGAGATGTAGCTGCACCGTCCAAGTGTGAGACAGAGGAATCACTGGAGAGGTATCATTAAATCACAGCTGCAGCCGTAGACATGGGAGCAGCACACTGAACTGCTGGGTACTACAGATCTCAAGGAATTCACACGTGTTCAGTGTCAGTGTTCAGGTTTTCTTTGTGTGAACTGAGGGGGGGGGGGGGGCAGAAAAATGAAGATAGAGTCTGTGTGCAATAATCTCATGCTAGCCTTTGGTAATGTACATTTGCCAAACCAACCTCATTTTCACTCTTGTAAAAACAAACAATACTCATGAATCATGAAGCATAGAGTTTGTATGGTTTCTTCAAGTTTGGTTTCAAGTGTGGCCAGAACAATTTGTCCTCATAACTGTCCCCTGTGAATGATCAGAGACAAAACACCCCTCAGAAGGGCTGTTCAGCTGTATGCTTTGGTTTAACACGAAGGAAACCAGGGAAAAACAAGGATGAGGTGTGATTAGTTCAGCAAATGTACAACTTCTTCATGTCCAATATGCTGCTTTCCTACAATTTTCAGAGGAACGTGTGAGACTGTCATTCACATGAGCTACTGCTGTCTATGCTTTTCAACTAGCCAGTCATCTGGATGCTGAAAAGAAGGGCAGGATATGGAATGTCAGTACCAAGTGTCCAAATCTGGTGGCAATGAATCCTTGCCATCTCGTCATGTAAACTCATTTTTGATCACTTGATGTAAATTCTAATTTTGGTTTTTGTTAAGTTTTTTGCTGAGATTTTGTACAATTGTTGTCTTTAGACAGCACTTCAGACTGAATTTGAAAAACTTGTCTTATTTTGTTAAATGTCAAATCATTTGTACAAAGCATTTTGTATTTAGCAAAAAGTGTACTGAAAAAGTGTTGGTTTTTTTTTTAGATTGGTTCTGAGAATCTGTAGAGCCACTAACAGGACAAAAGCAAAAAAGCACTCAGCTGTGTTGTGCACCAGAATTTCCTTGGAAAATTATTAATGTCGCCTTAAAATGATACCTGCTCTACTGACAAGTCATAACAAAACATCAGATCCAGATGTTCTAAGACTGAGTTAAAGTGAAGCTGGAGAGGTCCTTGTTGGCCCTGCTTGGCCCCGCTGTGGTTAGGTGGACTCTGGTTTTGGTCTGGAGCTGTGTTCAGGTCACTCCTCAGACAGGCTAAAATTTAAATATGGATCCCACACAACAGCACCTTTAACATTCTCTCATACTCTTCCCATTCTTCTCTGCATACACATCATATTCTATACAAAGTATCAAAAAAGATAAAACAAATACTGAAAAAGCCTCACTCATACTGACATCATCACTTCTCATATTAAACCTTTATGCCTTGCAGGTCTTCTTTTGCTCTCACACTGCGAACATTCAAATCCACAGTGAATGAGGCTGCACAGCACCGATCACTCTGGAAAGGAATGCTGCAGTATGAAAATGCTCTCACTCAGTGGTTTCATTCAAAACAAAACAAAACAATACTACAAAACACTGAAAATGAAGCGAGGATGAAAGATGGGCGCTCCCCATTAATGTGTTCAATTTGGGGGAAATGGAAGAAACGAGTTAGATGGAGAAAAGAAGGAGTACACTTTAATTCCACACTTACACAAACATGAACTATGATAAAACAAAAAGGAGTCAGTCAGTCAAGACCAGAGAAGAGCAGGGAGTGGACCTGGATTCTTCTCTGAGCGAGGCGTGGACAAACACTAATAAAGAGGTCTCTGTGGGTCAGGGGCACGGGAGCTGATTGTACTGCCCCGTGTGCTGTGTCTGCTGAATCCACATAGCAGGGAGCAGTGTCCCTGACAGAACACACAGCATGAATGTGGCCGGCTCAGTGCAGTGGCAGGTAGCGCTGCTGGGGGCTGGGTGGGCACTGGATGGGATTCCTTAGGCTCGGCCCAGAACTCCATCCCCCTGGGGTGCTGCTCATGGAGAGAAGGTTGCCATCTCCAGGGAGATACGCTGCCACAGCTCCTTAGTCTGCTTGCCTCTCTTCAGGTTCTGCAGCACATCGTTAAACTGCATCATACCTACAGGTGTCAAGCAGAAAGCACCTCGAGCGCTGCGGATGATGTTGACAAAGTCATCGTAGTCAGCGGGTGTTAGGTGGATGAGCCGGTGGTGGATGTACTGCAGAGACAGAAAGGGAGGGGTGATTCTCCAGGCAGCCTGCTTGGATATTGACAATGCAGAGATCGAAGAGCACTGAGACAGAGCAGCACTGCACGAGCCAATGAAGATGTATTACCAATGCCATTCAAGTGAGAGCTGTTCACTCTGCCCATACCCTCAAAGGCCACATTTACTTTCTCACACACCTCCTACTGAGCATGCCCGTAATTTATAAGTACTGCAGTCTTGGACCAAAGACACTGATTACATGGATCTTTCCCTTTCAAAACCAGCAGGACCAGTATGCACTGTTGTTTGTGTTGCTGATGATAGAGCACAGCAAAGTCCACTTGGGAAAATCTTTTTTTTTTTTTGCATGTTTCATAGAGAAAGCAAAGTTTGACTTATCACCTATTCAGCCCAACCACAGGTGACTCAGCTGATGGCATGTTGTATAAACCTGGATCATCCACTATCTACATGTGTATCCACGATACACCAAAAAAGTGCTGGACTACATCAGTTTTTGTGTGGACTATGTAACATCGTGGAAGCAAATACGTGAGTTTCCAAATAGGAAGCCTTGTATGACACATGAAGTACTACAATTAATTAAAGCTAGGGATGCAGCATACAGGTCTAGGGACACCAATGCCTACAGTACAGCCAGGACTGCTTTGAGGAAAGGCACCAAATCTGCCAAACTAGCATACAAAAGGCAAACTGAAGCCAAATTTAACTCTGCAAATCCCCAGCAGGTGTGGGAGGGCATCAAGGCAGTCACGCACTATAAGAAACCAACATCTCCCTCAGTGACCTGCTGTGCCACCTTGGCTGAGGAGCTAAATCTCTTCTACGCCCATTTTGATAGGGACAACACAGACCCTGCACTGCCTCCCCTTCCCTCTATCGACACTGCTCCAGTCCTGAGCACAGATGACTGCTGTGCCTCCATCCCAACTAATCTGATCATCAAATTTGCTGATGACACCACGGTGCTCGGGCTTATCAGCAACAACGATGAGTTAGCCTACAGAAGTGAAGTACAGTATCTGGCATCATGGTGTGAAAACCACAACTTTGCATTCAACATAAGAAAAAGCAAGGAAATGATTGTAAACTTCTGCAAAACAGGACAATCCATTCATACTCCACTCTCCATTGGGAGTGGAGAGACTCACAAACTAAGTTCCTGGGTGTGACTGTTACGGAGAACCTGTCCTGGGGCATTAACACTGCCTCATCTGTAGGAAGAGGCAACAGCATTTATTCTATTTGAGGAAACTGAAGAGTGCCAAAATCCCTCAGCAGCTCATGTCAAACTTCTACCACTGTGCTATTGGTAGTATATTGACCTATGCTTTCTTAGTGCAGTTCTCCAGCTGCACTAAGGCTGAGCAGTAGGCCCTCCAGAGGGTGGTGAAGACAGCGGGGAAAATCATTGGGACCAGTCTGCCAGAGATCAGCACCATTTACACCAACCGCTGCCTATGTAGTATGCATAACACCCTGCACATCACCTATTCCACCTGCTGCCCTCTGGGAGCAGATACAGGTCCATCCATGCCAGAAGCACCAGACTGGCCCACAGCCTCTATCCTCAGGCAGTGAGGCTACTAAACGTTTTGCTGTGCTAAATGGTACACAGGACATATTTTTGTACATATTTTCGATATTTGGGAGGCACTCTTGCTTTGCTATGCCAGTATTAAGATATCTCGCTGTGTTATTATGACAATGACAATAAAGTATTGAATTTGAATATCTGATATTTGCATGTTGATTATTTTGTAGAGAAAAGCACATTGCTGTTCGTCCACCTCCTTCATTATCAGTGAAGGTAGTGCCACGTGGGTGGAGATGTGCTGTACCTGTAGGTAGGCCTGTTGGCAGCGCTGGACGAGTTGGTGAAAAGCAGGTGTTCGGAGGTGAGCGTGGATGTGGGCGGGGTTCAGCCTCTGCAGAGCCTCCATGATGATCTCCTGCAGGACAAATGGACTGAGGACACCTTTTGCTGCACCGACACAGAACTGGTACACGTAGTTGACTCCTGAGAGGATGGACAATGAGAGAGAGAGAGAGGAGAAAGAAGGGGAGTTTATTTGTAGATAGGAAAAAAGGAAGTGGTGGTTAAAAAGGTGCAGGCAGTTCTAATTCTGTCTCAACTTAGAGTGAACTTTAAGCAACATCCCTAAGTTTCACATAGATACAGTGTATGATGATATATGAAGAAAATACAATGAAAACGCACCCACAGACACACATTCCTGTCAAACTCATTGACATAATGCACTCTCTAACCCCAAACTGATTCTACCCTGAAACCTAAAACCTAAAAGTCTCCAGCCACACCAGTGGCTCTGTGAGACTTGCCTTAAAGCGGAGGGACCTTGTAAAGCCCCTTTCAGTAATGACACCTAGGAATTTGCAGGTTACATGTAGCTATGAAGCAGTTGTTGTTTTGGTGTTCAGGCACAGAGCTGCTGTATGCAAAATTCCCAGCAAGACTTTTCAAACATTAGCAGGACCTAGCTGGGTACAGCCACAACATTCACGTAATATCCAAAGGCATGACATACTGTATGCGCAGAGGGTGAGTAGTCGTTTTCATTTCCCTGTCAGCCCAGTTTCCAGCCATTCACTGTTAGCTCATGCTGCTAAGCTGTATCCTCTCTGTACCCGTTCAAAATGAACTTTGTACTAGCTAACGTTAAGTTGTTTTTATCTTTATGCCCAAATTTCACTGCCTGTTTGAAATATACACCACAAGAGAGAGAGACAGAGAGGTGGGCTATACAGTGAATGAAGGGAGGGAGCTGCATTACCAAGAACAAAGCAGTGAAACAGAGAAAACTTTGGTGTGCTGTAGTACTGCTGTCATCTTGACAGTGTCCTTACCGACAACTTGACCACTTCAATTCAGACACATTGCCAGTTAGAGCGCAGCCAGCTATGTGACTAGGTCCGACCAGGCAAAATTGCCAGTAACACTTTGCCGGCTTCGCGACTCAGGGCTTTGTTCAGATGAGAGGTCTAGACGTGAAGTAGCCAGCAAATTCCTGGCTAGGAGTGCATGTCTACAAAAGGCTTAATACTGGAAAGGCAACACATAGAGACCGTTTCCACCACTCTGCACTGATTTTCAGTTCTTGATAGTCATCGAGGAACACACTCCTTACAACCCAGTAAACACTGTTGATAACACAGAGTTCTGGCAGTAGACGAGTCTGTAAATCTCATGAGATTACACTAATTCTTGTCTGCCCTTGTACCAAAACAAATATGAATGCAACTGGCTTGCACTGTTTACATCTAGGCCATGGTTTACAGTTCAGTTTGCACAGAAAAGGACAAAAATGAAGAAAGAGGCATCAAGTGTGTTTGAGATTCTAGATGGAGAGGAGTTGGACAATCCAACGTATAGTTACAGAGGGAACTGAAACACATCAGTCCTGCTGTGGTCTATCTTTGATATAATGTTGTAGAAGTATTTGTTCTCCCACAAAGCCATTCTTGAATCTTTACCTTCATCTTTTATTTATTTAGCAATACGTCTCCATCAGTGAAATGTTAATGATGTCAGCAGTCGCCAAGGTCACTCCGAAATATTAAGCGCATTTAAAAAGGAAAAAACTGCTGTGGGAACAGTTTAAGGCTTAAGATTAGAATCTTCAAATGGTATGCACTACACACTTTTATCTGTTGACTGTCAACAATGACCAACCCAAACTGGTCTGATCAGTCATCCTGTCCTAATCTCGTAAGGCCTCTGCCTTTTGTTCACGGAGCATCCTTATGACCATTTAACTAACCAAAAAGTAACTGCATCTGCCACCCAAGTTATGCCTCCATTGTTGTTTATTCATTCATGTGCAGGCTCACCTAGCCTAGCAGCCAGACCCAGCAGCCATTTAACATCCTCGGTGTAAGGTGGGCTCCTGGAGAAGTTGTTGGGGTGGTCATTGTGTGCCCTCCTGCCCAGCATCTCCAGTGCCAGCATGCCTTCAAACAAAACAACAACAGAGATCACATTAACTCAGTTAATGTAGAGTTAAGTCACTTAAACTGTACTATATGCACAGTGGTTAAAGGAGAATAAAATTGTAGGGCAAACTTCTCACCAACTCTGTAGGCAGAGTGCAGATAGTGTAGGCCCTGCTGACTGATTGGCTGGCTGTGCTGCTCATCCTCTGCTGCGAAAGGAGTGCTGACCAATGAGCCAGGCTGAGAGGAGAGGGAGGGCAGAGATGCTCCCTGGATGGCCTGGATGGTGGGGCCTGCGTGCACACTGCCAACTGTAGCACATGACAAATCCTACTTTTTAGCATTGATCAATGCAGATTAACTCATTCCATGGTGCTATAACATTCATTTATGTATAGTATCTAAACGAGGCCAAATTTAGGAGAACTCTGATAATCGTTTGGTTTACAATCAGATGAAAGATACACACCCAGTATGTAGTTCTGACCTGCTACGGTGGTGCTGAGGGGCAGTCCTGTCTCAGTGTGGTAGGGGTGGACGGCAATCTGAGTCATGGATGGTACGGGGACACCTGGGAACGTGACAGCCGTGGCTGCCATAGGGGGCTGGGGGCCAGCGGCCACAGAGAACGGGTACTGGGCTCCGATGAAGGCTGGGTGCATTCCCTAGGTCAGTAAACACACAAACAAAGGTACAGACAGTTTGGCTGACTGCCATTGTGAAAATATTTGTGTAGCACAAAAATATTTGTTTTAAAACAGCAAAATATATAAAGATGTATTTGTATATGCCTTAGAATAAGCTGCCCATGACCTGTCTACATGATGAATTGTTAATCAGCAAGGAGGTAGAGGGGGGTCAATCCCCTAACCAGAGGACTGGTGGTTCGATCCCCAGCTACTCCAGTTCACATGTCGAAGTGTCTAAACCCTGGTGTGTGAATGGGAGAGAGCTTGTGTGTGCAAATGGGTGAAAGTGAAATAGTATAAAGTGCTTTGAGTGCACATCAGTTTGTAAAAAAGTGCTATAAAAAACCATTTATCATTTATATCACTAAGAACCAATGGGCTGTTAGGCTCCAGGACTGTGCTAGGTGTGGTCAATTGGTAATCCCACCCTGAGTATCAAAGCATTTGGCAGCAATCACAGTTATTATACATAATATTAGTTACAAGTAAATGAATTGGGTCTCAGAAACATAAAAACACATGAAAGACACGACCACCATTACAAAAATCCTCTATCATACACAGAACCTCAGAAGAATAATGTATCTTAAAATACGTGTCCATGCAGATTCTGTCATCCAGGTCATAGTAAGTTGAAAAGATGTAAAAAAAAAAATGGACTTGGTTTTAGGTGAATGAGAGGTGAAACGTCTTCAACCTAAAACTAAGTCCATTTGATTTTTTTCGATGTTTTTTTTTTCAGCTTAAAATACATGGCAGCCCTCACATACAGTATATTATACAAATACCCTAAAGGTACTCCAGAGGACTCCTGTGCCAAACAATCCTCTAAAAATACCCCGTAAAAAAAATAACAGTACCACTGGGCTACGCTGGATCTGATCTTGAATGGCACTTCCATGATCAGCTTTTCTAGTATTTAAAGCTCTTCTCGCTTTACCCATATTTGTTTAATGCTTTCCTCCAAACCGTTGTTCTTTAATTTGTTCTAACGCGCGCTTGGCTCAGTAAATTTCAAAACTGGAGTTTTGAAATTTGGTTAGACAAATCAGGTTATGAACGCTGCTTGCAACTCAGTGCCAGTTCTGCTGCCTCCCAAACCATGTTGAAATATGTGAAGACAAATTGTACATTCCAACTGTGAACACACTATTTCTTAATAAAACCAAAAATCCCAGTGATTATATAAAGAGGAGTTCTGACCTGTGGGTATGCAGCCCCAGTCACAGGAAAGACGGTGGGCCGGGGGACGTGCTGCAACGGGTGTCCCAGGTACTGAGGGGTGCAGACGGTGGGGAGATGGGCCTGGATTGTGGTGTAGGGATGGAGGCCCTGGCTGTGGGGATGAGCCATGGCCTGCCCAGGCATGGCATGGGACTGGTAGATGGTGGAGCCCACAGAGATGACAGGTACAACGGCTGCTGCAGTGACTGAGGCTGTCACTGTTGCCACCCCTGGAGACTCCATGTTGACTCCACTGTCAACAACACCACAGCTGGATTCTGGGGGCCTCCTGCCTGAACCACCATTGGCCCCACAGCGCCCAGAGGTCTCCCTCTGCTGACTTGAGCCCCCACCCACTGACTGCTCATACAACCAGTACCACTGGTGGGCCACCTCAAACAGAACCTCAGGGTACACACCTCCCCCCTTAGCTGCTTCCTCTACTGCCATGCAGGCCTTCTCCAACATCACATTGTCCTAGGGAAGAGAATGTAGGATGAGAGAAAAAGAGATCACTATGGATGACTTATTTACTACAACAGATGGCATACGGTCACTGGTTTCTTTAATGGTTGGTTTCAGAGAGCTAACTTTAACAAGTGTCTGTGGGCAACAGATATCAGCTGTAATTTAGATTTTGTCACTGCAACTTCATCAAAACATCACCAATCAGAAATTACCCAAAAGATTAAGATAACTATTAATATTAATCTTTACTGTAAACCCATCACCACAGTACCTGCTCTTTGCACTGCACTAGAGCTCTCTGGATTTCATTGGGATTGAGGGCATGGGCATGAGGCAGGCAGCTCAGTGCCAGTTCTGCTGCTGCACGAACCATGTTGGGGTCCCTGGCCCGTGACGCTCGGTCTGCGAGGGATGCCACCTCTGGAGGGGTGAGGTGACCATCCCAACACTCCACCAATATGTTGAGGGCAGCACTGCCAATCTCCATGGCCTGGCCTAAGGGATGGTGAGAAGATAGAGTAAGTAGTCAGAAAGGAAAGTTGGTGAATAGGTGGAGGCAGGAAAACAAAGAAAGGAAACACTGGGTTAGAAAATGTGGGTGTCCATGTTTCTGTCCAACTCTTCCTCTTTCCCACAAACACTCCGCCTCACCAGTGATCCAAGACACATGGGAGGAGTAGGTCCTGGACAGCCAGTTGGGTGAGACAAAGTTGTGGAGACCAAGGGCATAAAGGCCAATCTCAAAGGCACACAGGTGCAGGTTTCTGTGGGGCCCCTGGTGGCCCCCACTGGCTGAGGGCTGGGTGAAAATGGAAGTGGAGGAGTTTCCTCCAGCTTTGATCAGCACTGTCTTGGCCAGCTCAAAGTAAAAGTGGGCTGCTGCTTCTGATGGTTGGTTGGGCACGTGGGGGGCGTGGCACTCTGGACGTCGCCCTTTGTACCTGAACACAGGTGAATCATACAACATGTTAATTAGAATTTAGTTGTTCAGAATAAACTCACATCTACTATAAATCAGGCTCATTTCCTGGTTTAAGCCTGCTAAACACAAACTAATCTTTTCAGATGGGCCTCCTCCTACTCAGGCTTTTCCCCCCCAACTTAGCTTTGGCTAATCTCTGATCTATGTTTATTGCTGACTATAACATTCCCTGAGGTCTTATTTGTGTTGTATGTCTCTCTGCGTTTGTATTTTCTGCTGTACTCATTTTTGTAAAATAATGTCTCTCTTTTGGCAGATAAAAAAAGCACTACTATCATAAATTCTTCTCCAATCAACTATCAGGTACCTAAGTGGACATCAAATTCAACTATTTGTTGAAAGCATTAATGCTGCAGGCAGCCAGTCTGAAGGGTATTTAAAATCATTTCCATCATATGGCAACCGTCATGCCACTTGCTAAATGACAAGATTGAAGAAAAAAAGGTAATCAGTTATTTCATTGTTCGCCCCTGCTTTCACCCCATAAGCAAGCTATAGTCACATTCATCTGTTTTCAACCTCTATTTTACACCACACAGTTTACAGAAGTAATTCAAGGGCAAGGGACAGCGCAGCCATACAGTAAGCTGGCATCTGTGCAGTGAGCTTATCTGGTTGTGTGCTATTTTGATGCTAAATGATTACATATTCATGCTGAAAGCTTAGTAGGTTTTGTTGTGATTTTAGTCTGTTTAGCCTTTGCCTGTGGACTATGCCTCCCTCATTGGAAACACAGCCGCTTTCTCTCTCTCTTCTTTCCACTCTCTCACTAACATTTAGAACTGGCATTTTCATGTGAAGATCTACCCACAGGCTGGAGTTATAAATGCAAATCTCTGGCACTGGATCAGATTCTCTTTGTTGTTCTTGTCCTGTTTTTCCACGGAGCCTCAGAAGCTCATCCTCTTGTCCATGCCACACACACACATGCCGCCATCTTGGCTAGCACCATTTTGACACACCCCCCATCAAAACCTGCATTAATATGTAACCTATTAGCAAACAACTCTGGTTTTGAACTGGTTTTGTATAGGGTTAATGTGTTTACCTGCTGGTGTCAGTGCTCTTGGCTCTGGCCCCACCCCCTGCCCTGCGAGAGCCACTGGAGGAGGATGAGCCCAGTGAATCAGATGATGAACTGCTGATGCTGTCACTGTCCTGGCCCCGCCCCCAAGATGTTGCTGCCCAGCTACCTCGTAGTGGCCTGCGGCTGAGGGTGGGAGAACTGTCTGAGGTCGTCTCTGGAGCACTGCTGTCGATACTCGCCATGCCTGATAAACCATGCAAATCATGCTTTGCATCACTGTTGGCTCATTTCTGATGTGAAGCCATGTATATACAGTATGTGTGTGTGTGTGTAGACATTATTGCCAAACTGCATACCAGTGTGTTTCTTCTTCTGCCGGACAGGTGAGCCCCAGCAGCGCTGGCTGTATCCACAGCGTGCCCCCAGCGCCAGCCGACTGGGCACTGTGGCCTCCAGCTTAAACGGAGCCATTTCATTCTGCTGGTCACTTGATGCAGGGCCATCTGACACTGCAAGGGCAGAAAATGAAAAAAGGTATTTCTGTATCAAAGAATACTAACTACCTGTATAATTTCAACTTATCAGTTAACATGCAACATAGGAAACCTGATTACCATAGACTGAAACGGTCTATTTATATAACTATTTTTAAACACAAATAGAGCTGTGCATGCTCTATTAGACATGGCGCTCAGAGAGGGGGTGGGGGTTCTCACCATGTTCCCGGGTCTCAGTAGAACTCTCCCCTGCTGTACTGTTTTGCACTGGGTTCAGTTCAGTCTGAGCCACCACTTCCCCAGGCAGTGCCACAGCAGAGGAAGAGCTGGTGGACGAGGCTGCCGCCGTGGCTGCTGAAGAAGTTGAAGGGGCATGTTTGGAGACACCCCCTGTGGCCCCACTCACTCCACTGTGGCTGGCAGCAGTATGTTTGGACGGGCTGCGCTGGCTACCAGCTGCTGGCTTGCTGGAGTAGAAGGAGCTCAGAGTCTGGGGCTTGTGAGTCTGACTCTCCCTGTCCAACAACTTATCCAGTATCTGAGAATAGCACAACATGGAAAGGGACATACAGGAAGGAGAGGACACAGGGAGTGAGAATGGGAGATGAAGACAGAAGAAAGGGAGAAAGAAGTGTAAAGTCCCTTTCAGACATGGACTCTTCTTCATTAATCTGACAGCATCTGAAAGTATCAGCTTCATGTCCTAATAAACACCTTGGTCACTTTTCCGTAAAAAAGCTGCAATGGCAATCTCACTCAGGTGAACCTAGCAACATTTAATGATCACTTTCAAAATGACACAAATGTGAACTGCATCCAGTCACATTAAGTGACAAGCACACACAAGATTATGGCATACTAACGTAGCAGATTGTTAATACAGCAGGCCTGTCAGTCCAGGTGCCTGCACATCTCCTGTGTGTCTTTGAGGTGCTCAGCTCATTAAAACCATGACTGTTTTGGAGAATATCAAACACCAATTAAATGAGGAAAAAATTCTCCTGGAACACTCAGGTTTGTCTGCCATGTTACAGTAAGAAACCGCTGGCTTCATACATTATAGGTCATTTGATGAACTGTCTGATCTTGCACATACAGTATTGTTCAAAATAATAGCAGTACAATGTGACTAACCAGAATAATCCAGGTTTTTAGTATATTTTTTATTGCTACATGGCAAACAAGTTACCAGTAGGTGCAGTAGATTCTCAGAAAGCAAACAAGACCCAGCATTCATGATATGCACGCTCTTAAGGCTGTGCAATTGGGCAATTAGTTGAAAGGGGTGTGTTCAAAAAAATAGCAGTGTGGCATTCAATCAGTGAGGTCATCAATTTTGTGAAATAACAGGTGTGAATCAGGTGGCCCCTATTTAAGGATGAAGCCAGCACTTGTTAAACATGCATTTGAAAGCCTGAGGAAAATGCGTCGTTCAAGACATTGTTCAGAAGAACAGCGTACTTTGATTAAAAAGTTGATTGGAGAGGGGAAAACCTATAAAGAGGTGCAAAAAATTTATAGGCTGTTCAGCTAAAATGATCTCCAATGCCTTAAAATGGAGAGCAAAACCAGAAAGACGTGGAAGAAAACGGAAGACAACCATCAAAATGGATCGAAGAATAACCAGAATGGCAAAGGCCCAGCCAATGATCAAAGACAGTCTGGAGTTACCTGCAAGTACTGTAACAGTTAGAAAATGTCTGTGTGAAGCTAATCTATTTTCAAGAATCCCCCGCAAAGTCCCTCTGTTAATAAGTCATAAATCAATGTTCATATGCGGTGACTTCAATATAGATCTGTTAAATCCAAACAAGCACACAGGAACTGAGGAGTTTATTAACACATTATACAGATGTAGTCTATATCCAAAGATTACAAAACCAAGTAGAGTAACAACTCAGCATGCTACAGTAATAGATCGTCTCACAAACTGTCTGTGGCCCTTGGACCCAAAAAGAACAATTTTACTCTCATCAGTCCACAAAATGTTTCTCCATTTCTCTTTAGGCCAGTTGATGTGTTCTTTGGCAAATTGTAACCTCTTCTGCACGTGCCTTTTTTTTTAACAGAGGGACTTTGCGGGGGATTCTTGAAAATAGATTAGCTTCACACAGATGTCTTCTAACTGTCACAGTACTTACAGGTAACTCCAGACTGTCTTTGATCATCCTGGAGCTGATCATTGGCTGGGCCTTTGCCATTCTGGTTATTCTTCGATCCCTTTTGATGGTTGTTTTCCGTTTTCTTCCACGTCTCTCTGGTTTTGCTCTCCATTTTAAGGCATTGGAGATCATTTTAGCTGAACAGCCTATAATTTTTTGCACCTCTTTATAGGTTTTCCCCTCTCCAATCAACTTTTTAATCAAAGTACGCTGTTCTTCTGAACAATGTCTTGAACGACCCATTTTCCTCAGGCTTTCAAATGCATGTTCAACAAGTGCTGGCTTCATCCTTAAATAGGGGCCACCTGATTCACACCTGTTATTTCACAAAATTGATGACCTCACTGATTGAATGCCACACTGCTATTTTTTTGAACACACCCCTTTCAACTAATTGCCCAATTGCACAGCCTTAAGAGCGTGCATATCATGAATGCTGGGTCTTTTTTGCTTTCTGAGAATCTACTGCACCTACTGGTAACTTGTTTGCCATGTAGCCATAAAAAATATACTAAAAACCTGGATTATTCTGGTTAGTCACATTGTACTGCTATTATTTTGAACAATACTGTATGACAAATATTCCATGTGCACTGTGGCTCTCCCAAGCTCCTGAGTATGTCTGAATATGTAAAAGTGATCTATGTCTTAATGACAGAAAGCCATCGCTTTAACATACTGATGAAGGCAGCAACATTATGTATCCCATGTCTGAAAATGGCTTGAAAGAGCTGGTATTATATCCCACTTTGACATATTTTTAGAAACACTGAATGTATTTTAAACATTTTAAAATGTTCGTGACATTTTATTCATTTATATTGTTTAGATTTCTCCAAGTCCATTTTTACACACAGTCTAGATTCCCCTCTGTCCTCTCGCAAATCGTTTCAGAAATCATTCACATAAAATGTACATTATTCATGAGCACCTACTCTGGTTGGCTGGAGGTGATGACTTGTTCAGCCCCAGTCAATCAGAATAAGACGCAATGAATAATGCCAGTGTTCTTACAGCCAATCTTTACCTTGTGTAATGGCTGCAGCTGGAAAAGCAGGACATTATATATCTGGACAAAGAGGTTTGGTGTGGGGGCAATGTCCCTCACTGTGGGGGTGGAGGGCTCTGCCTGAACACTTATCTCCTCATCTGTCACTCTCTGAGCTCTTTTGTCCATCCCTAATTCATGTTCCCTCTCTCTATATGGAGGTGAACAAATGCTTTATAATTATATGGAGTAATATAGGCTAATTGTTTTTCAGTGACAGTTGATAGGTATTTTTAGTGGATGCTAAGTCCTCAGCAGTTTGCTGGTCTCTCGTGCTTCACTCAGCAACATAGATAGCCTGCCTGAAAGCGAGACGTGAAACATCTTGTTTGGTCTCTATCAGCTCTTTGTTTACTAAATGCTTAGCAAAGTTCACCAACTAGTCAGCCACTTCATCTGCGGTTTGGTGCTGGGGAGGTAGAGTACAGTGAAGCCCACTGTACAGAGTCTTTTCCAGTGAAAACAGCTGCTTCCTACAGCTCAGTACCAGACTGATGGGAGCTGGGACATGGACCCAAAAAAGTCATTTGGGCTCTAAAACCAAAACAGTGAGCTGAAACTGAAATGGGTTGTTGAGCTGAGGGACACTGCAGACATGGTGATAATTATCTGAGGTTGTTCATATGAGTAACCAGTTTTATATTATATACAATCAGTGAGATTTTGGGGGCTTTGAAGTTTTGGTAATAATAACTGGTGGATATTCAAATATTGGCCAATCACAGAATCCTGTGGCTCCTTTTTCCCCCTCTGCCTGGCTTACAAATGTAATAATCTGTTTTACATCAAGTTATTGTATTTTTCTATGTCTTGAATATGTGGGAAATATCCCACATAGTTACTGATATGTATAAGACATATCCAGTTGCTGTTAACGTGCATTTGATAAGGTACCCTTTGACTTGATGTTAATGTGCATTAGAAAATTTACAGTTAATGTGTTTTTCAAGATGCTTCTAGTGCTTAAAAAGTAAAAAGTGGTTAATAGTAGGCCTAAGTCTTGTTTAATTTGGAGAGGTAATGACTAGAAGGCTCTGTGTGCAGTATAAAGTCCTCCTCATACCATGAGCCGATGGTTAAGGGGTTACACAAGAGCAAATTTAATACTTACCAGTCATACCTGGAAAAAAAGAACAAAAAAAGTTGCCATTTTCTTGTTACATGGTCAGAAAGATCAGTAGTGATGGTTACCTTCTTTAGTTTGCTCTGGTCATCCTTATAGGTGATCATGAGAGCCAGAGCCAGGTCACCCTTCACCCGTCTGGTTCCTTCACACAGCAGAGGATGCTCTGCTTCACTGACTGTGGTCTTCATACCTGCAGACACACACAGGATGGGGACAATAAGGCTTAATGGACAGTACAGCAATAGAGGGATGTAAGAGAAATGGTGAAGAGAGAAAGAAATATATTGAGAAACAAACAGTAAGAGGATCTCATCCAGACAGTAAGGAAACAGAACAAGAATAAATTTACCAAGAGCAGCAACAGCAGCCTCAAAGCCAAGCTCCTCATCGCCAGGCATCTCGTTGTTACGGTTACGGCTCGGTGGACGGGACCCCGTTGGGGACACAACTGCACAAACAATATGATGAAAAGTGAAAGGGATTTTAATTCTTGAGGTCTTAAAGTAACAGTATAAATTTTCCAGCCATTCTGAGTATATCCCAAATAAAAGTTAGTGACTAATATACATCAAGTTTTACATGGCAAAAATGTTTTAATTAAAAAAAAGCAATTTAAGAAAATCTTTTTAATTCAGGATGATTCAATCTCATTTTATAGTATCAAAATATAAATAATCTGTCATTTGTATTTATATAAACTGCAAGGGCAGAAAATGAAAAAAGGTATTTCTGTATCAAAGAATACTAACTACCTGTATAATTTCAACTTATCAGTTAACATGCAACATAGGAAACCTGATTACCATAGACTGAAACGGTCTATTTATATAACTATTTTTAAACACAAATAGAGCTGTGCATGCTCTATTAGACATGGCGCTCAGAGAGGGGGTGGGGGTTAAACTTATTATAAACTTATTTAGGACGTTGACTGGTCTAGTGGTTATGACATATACCACATATCCACACTATCACTGGTCTGACATATATTTGACAAGAAGCAGCTGCGCTGCTTTGATTTATATCCTCAAACATCTGGGTTTTGCTTATTTCAAAAGGAAAAAAAAATCTAAATCTCAAAATGTTATTATTAGATTTAAAAATGTTGAACTCCAAAGACCAAACAGTAACTGGTGCTTACCTGGGGTACACAGTACATCAAAGATGAAACTGGCCAACATAAGTGGCAGCACAGGTCTGTAATCACAGAAGTTCCCATCTCTGAGCTGCTCAGCTCTCTCTCTGATGGCTGACATCTCCACCAGACCCAGGGGAATCTTCTTCAACAGAGCCACCACCTCTGATTCCTGGTAGGCCAGCTTCACCTAATCAGCCCATAAACACGCATAACATTCATGCCCCCCATTCTCTAAACACATATTGTCATTTAGATACACTATATGTATTAGACAAACATGGAGTTTCTATACTAATAAAAATGATAACTCTGTCTAAGCACATTTACAGGATTTGGCAGAAACTCCAAATCAGAGTGACATACAGAGATACCATACTTTCCGGACTATAAGCCTCTACTTTTGTCGCTTCATGCACACACCCTCATCATGGACAACACACAACGAAATGCATATGATGCCGCTTCAAGTTACAGGCGATCGATCTGGCTGTCGAAATATCTCGTTACAACGTGGACACCTGCAGCTATGTATAACATGTTTATTCGCCTTACATTTAGTGGCTGCGGCTTATAGTACGGAAATTACGGTAATTTCTTTTGATCAATCCTCACAGTCAGTGAGAAAAGCAACTGTCTGGCCACTTAGATCACCAAACAGGATTTGAATATTTGTTTTAAGTCAAACATTGGTGTTCTGGTGGTTAAGGAGTCAATCATAACCTACAGCTGTTTGTGTCTAGCTAGGAACCTTTGTCCCATATACACCACCTTTTGGAGATGTGTAGCTGTGTCCCTGTGCCTACCGAGTGCGTGTGTGTGTGTGTGTACTTGTGTGAGAGTGAGAGACCTCTAAAGCTTTGGTTGATGCCGGTGGTCTCTGGAGCTCTAGGGAGAACATGCCAGTGCTGAAGGCCAAGTTGTGGAGCTCCAGCCGTTCACTGAGAACTGTGAGGAGGAAGGCAGCTTTGGACAGCGTGTTAGTGGCTACCTGCGTCTGACGGCTGGTTGACACCTTGTTCTTCTTACCCTAAATCCAACAACCAGGGAAACAACAAAGGTTTCGGGGCATGAATCAAAACTTTACTTCTAACAAGCAGAGTCACACATGAAATTTCTTAATTTGAGTTTTAAAGAACTTAATTCTCCTATTTGTTGCTCATTGACAAATCGGCAGAGTAAAAATGCCAATTTATAACAACAGATATTTTAAGAATCTGGTGGCTTTCCATCATAAGCAAAACCTCAGCATTCCACCACACAGTTTGAGATGCTGACTGATGAGTTTGGAAGAATGAGACTTTAGAACAGCAGGCAAGAAGAGAAGACAAATGTCATAATAGAACATGTTCCAGGCTGCTTGGCCTTGTGACTTTATCTACCTTAGTTTGTGGCTGCTCCACTTTCAGGTCTGGAGGGTTGGCTAACAGGTCTTCGGCTAGCTCCACAGCCAGCCGACATGCCTCATTGCTGTAGCCATGAGCATGGAGGGCCTCGGCACACGCAAACAGTACCTGCACTCATACATGCACACACAGTATTCAGGTCAGTAGGAAGAGCAGTGAGGTTTTACATCTGTGCTGCTGAGTGGGGAAGTATTTCTGTCCAGTAGCATTAGAGCCAGTAAGGTATAAACACAAGTGAAAATTAAAAACATTATGACAGTCGATGTACAGTAAACAAAGTAGTCTAGTCTGCAGTGGTCAAAACAGCACCGTCCTTTTGACTGAAGGGCTTTAACATGCTATATAGGGGATGAACAATGATGGATGTTGGTGCACTCTGGCTGCCCATTGGTGTGATGAATCCTATCTGCAACTAAATACAACAAAAACTAAAGATATGCTCATAGATTTTAGGAGGAAACCTCATAGGCACGAAGTCACTTTAATTAAGGGGCAGACTATTGAATATGTGCAAACATACAAATATCTGGGGACGATCATTGACAGCAAATTGAGTTTTGAGGAGAA